TTGGCCAGACTGTCACAGTGCTTGACTTGTTTTTACACATTGTTTTCAATCTTAAACCTAGGAATCTTAACTAACTTCCAATTAAATTTCTATTTTCTGTCAGCTGAGTAATATTTGAATTAATATTGAATTCAATATTTGATGCATGTGCACCTTTCCATCATGGGCAGGATGAGTTGATGGAGGACCATCGATAAAACTCAGTGCTCTTCAGTTAAAAATACTCATTCCCTCTTTCCAGCAATGCAAACCCCAGTGTAATCACACAAGGAAAGGATCCTGACAGTTTGTTTCCATTTTTAAATCAGGCTGCTTGGCTTCTAGCACCTCTTCTAATTTTTTGCAATTTTCAACGAATGCAAACTAACATTAGAACAGGAAGAATGCCATCTGTCACCTCAAATTCCTTAAAATCAGATCTGTGGTTCGTTTTGGTTGAAGAACTCCCCCCTAAGCTTTATTTGTCAGCCCCTTTCATAAGCTGGAGACGTGCCTGTGAAAGGTGTACTTATGTGTAAGACTGTCAGGTCCCTGATGTCAATTTGACTGAAGTTTGTTGATTCAGACAGTTAATAAATAGCTCAAAATAATTGTACACGATCTTCATGACATATCATTAGGTGAGCCAAGGAGAAAGGTGGGAACTGGAGTGCCGATATTGTCATTTGAAAGGCTAAAACCAGGGAACACCAGCAATAGCAGTGATTTTTGTTGAAGCACAGTTCCTTTGGCTGAAATTTCTATGGTGCTCATTTTTTAACAAACCCTTCATCTTCACCAGTATTTGCTGGGTGAGCTGGGTCATTTCCCAGTGCATTTGGAAATAGCAAGAGGTGCTCGAAGCTCCCTGCGATGATCTGAACTCCTCATGTGTGTCCTCTTGACACCTTTTTCTTTGAAGTTGCTCTTTTGTTCCTGTTAACGCTGCTGCTAAACCCCCAGAAGTTCACAAATAACATGGTCTGTCTGGAACACCGCTGCTTTCCATTTGGGGAAAGCTGCTAATTGCCCTGGTGGTGCCTGTCCCAGCCCCAAAGCGTTCCTGCCGATAGACGCTGGCGATGGTCTGTCACTGAGGTGACAGAAATTGGCTCCTTGTCACTCCCCATCATGAGAGGTGGCACCCGAAGCGCTCGGGTGCCGGCTGCTCTCGGAGGTAGGAAGGACATGTGCATTTCTAATTTTTATTTCTTTTTATTTCAGTGTAGAACCCATCTCCCTTTTAGGAAAACAAATATAAAGCAATTTCGCATCTTAGACTAGAATATAAAAAATGTGGTGTTTCCTCCCCATGTGACTCCCTGCTGAGTCCTCTCACTGCTCCCTTGAACTTCTCCAAAATGTTACCCTATGGAATATTTTATTACAGGCATGTGTTTACATCTTTTTTTTAGCTTAACTTTTCATTTAAATGCACAGTCTGCTCATGATCGAGGTTAATGCTGTTGTTTCCATATTTCCATGTTTCTGTGGATGACTCCTCTCCCCAGGATGCAGCTCCTGAGGTCTCTGTGCAGCATCCTCATCCGCCCCTCTGTTCCAGCTTAATTCTTCTATCATTTATTTTCTCAATGCATTTTTAATCCTCTGATTTCCTCTCCTGTGAGCTGTCAGAGCCCGTTTCACACACAAATAACCCCTGTTAGGATCCTTCCATGGCTAATGCACATCCCACATCAGCTGGCTGTGTTTTCTCCCCCATCCATGGAGCTGTAGGTGTCCCTGCTCTAGTGAATGCTGGGATTTCTCCCCATTGTTTGCTATTTGTACATTGAAAAGAAGAAAGGATAAAAGTCAAAAAACCTCTTCTCTCACTGCTGATTCTTTCTTCAGTGTCTAACTCTGGGCCTCCTGCCTGGCTCAGCCCCTTGCCAAGTGTCTGCAGTCCGTGCCCAGCATCACTTTTCCACACCCCAATGTTTCCAGTGGACTTCAGACACAAACAGGAAAACCTTCCTTCCGGCCGTGGTAAATAACATTACCTCATCTCTGATACTACTCTTTAGAACAGGGCTTTATTAGAATGGGATGTTGGACACAATGCCAAGAGGTTAAGGAGCTCAGTCCAAGGCTGTGCACCCTGGAGAATGGGAGGAGTATCCACCCCATCCCTGCTCTGTGAGTGAGGAACCTGGCCATGGAACTTGGAGGCTGGAAGTGTGAAGCGCTGGGCCTGGCAGAGAAGGTTCATCCTTTTTAAAGGAATGACAGCAGGGAATTAATATTCTCCACCCAGTGGATCTATGGAATCATTTCATTATATTATGTTGAAAAAGTCTAGGTTTTAGCAGTTTTAATAATTTAATTTTCTTAATCTTTATGGACTTCCCCTAAGGAGATTGCGAGTTTGCTTGTAGTAGTGTAAGTGACAAATGGGTGTGTTACTCTGTCTCCTTTTTTATCACTTCATTTTGCAGGTCTTTGCAAGACAAAAGGTAAGGCCTAACCAGCGAACAGAATCTTGCTGGTTCTTTGGAGGAAGCCAAGAAGCCACAACAGAGAAGGGCACAAAACCAAAATAATTTTGTAGCTTCATTTGGGTACACTTGAAGAGGAAAGATGGTATGGCCAAGTTCCCATCGGAAGGGAGGTGCAGGGAATGAGGCACAAAATTAACACAGTGTGGATCATTTTGGCAATGAAGTTTAGGAGGAAAAATTTTTGAGAGATGATGTTAAAAAGTAAGGGTGGGGATGAGCTAATGCCTGGTGGTAAAGAGGCGGAGAAAGCAGAGTCATGGCTGACTGAGAGGTTACAAACTCAGGTCAGGAAGAGGACAGTGAGCAGGGAGCCAGGGAGGGGGAGCGGGAGAGGAGCAGGGACAGAGCGGGGCCTGGGGGGCAGGAGGAGGAGCTGTGGGACTTGGGGACTCAGCGGAGTGGAGAACAAGCCATTGGAAGAAGGAAGTAAAAAAGATGATTAAGTTGTAAATCGGGATCCTTTGGGGATCTGAGCAAGAAGTAGCACAAAGAGAAGTCAATTCAAGGAAGTAAAGAAATGTGGGAGGCACAGGAACACAGAGTGGGGCAGCCTGCAACTGCTCCACAACGGGGCGAGCCACAGAGGCCTCACAGAAATGCACTCAATGTGTGTTCTGTTTGTTAATTTTCAAAATTCATTAATTGTACTTCATATTAAGTGGCAAAGGGATTCTCAATTTTCTTTTTTGTTTGTTTGTGGTTTTTTGTTTGTTTTTTTTTTTGTTTTGGGTTTAGTTTGATTATTTGGTGGGTTTTTTTGTTCGGTTGGTTGGTTGATTTGGGTTTTTTTTTGTTTTGGTTTGGTTTGTTTTTTGTCCAAATAAATAGCCTCGAAGCACAGAAAACAAGATCTGAAGAACTTTCATTTTGTGGAATGTTCCTGCTTAAGGGGTGTGCTGAATGAGACCAAGCAGAGGAAGGTGGTTTATTCAGGCTTGTTCTGCACAGAGTTCTCCTGCACAGCAGCCCTGTGAGAGTCTATGTTAACATGTGAGATATTTGGATCACTGATAGTAATGTCACTGGTAATGGTAAGTGCAGAGAAGGCTGTTCTAAGGTCTTTGCAGAACTCATTGTAAGCAGGAGGTGGGACATGGAGCTGTGCTGCAAGTTCCTGAGAAAGGTACCCACCAAACACTTTGATTTTGTACCGAGTGCTTTCCATCAGAGTTTCAATTAAAGTAAAAGGAGATTAAAATGAAAGCACAAAGTCAATCATTAAATTTAATGCATCATCTATTTGCTTTACATTTTGAAGAGTATGAAATGCTTTACATTTTGTAAAGTATGTTGTGTTCTCCCAGCATAGTCACTGCAGAAAGCAAATTCTGGAACACGGTTGTGGAAAGGGGTAAAGGAAACACAGACCGGAGAAAATGGTTACTCTGACAGTCCCTGATACCTGAAACATTTGTTTTGATGTAATTAAGATAAGCTCGCAGCAATAAAATCAATGATCCTGTGGTGAACTAATGAGGAAAAGTGTGAGAAGACCTGCCTAATAAAAAATGGAAATTGCATGTCGTGTGAAGAGCAGTTACCGCTTCCAGATTGTGCAGGCTCTGCTTTTCTGTGCAGTCATTAGTAGAGTACATTCACGCACCAGCACTGTTTATGCTGCAGTTTATTCCTGTGTCGCCTTTCCCTCTGTGGACGGAAGGCCGTGAGCGTCAGCCTGGGCCTCATCACCGCAGATGGGGCAACACCGAGCAGATCCTGCACGGGGAGCTGAGGAGATGGCCACAAAAACCTGAGTGCCCTCACTGAACAGCCAGATCTGTCTGAGGAACAGTTATCGCTAAGTGTAATTAATGCAAGGTAGCTGCTTAGCAGTGCAAGTTTATCGGAGTAAACAGATGTAAACGACGCTCTTTGTCATTTACCGGTCTTGAGGAGGAAAGTTTTAACTGCCAGAGGTAAGTCCAAATAGATTTTTAGATGGCAATGTAACAGAACAATGATCTTGGTCTGTGAAATTTATTTTGCAGTATCTAGATGGCATTGGGAAGCTGAGGTGCATTAATGACCTTTATTCAGCTCGGTGTTGGTGACTTGTTGGATGCCAGCCGGGGCTGGCTTGCTCTGACAGGTTCCACAGTTCAGACACAGATGAACAGCGAGTCAGCCCTTAGCAACACTTCATGCTCTGTGGTGATATTCTTAATGGTCAGAAACAGCTCTGGGGTTCACTTTGGACCGTGGGGAAGGTTGGGCGCGGGGCGGGCGCCCGGGCGCTGAGGGGAGCAAACATGGCGACCGCACCTGAGGGGAACAAACATGGCGGCCACGCCTGAGGGGAACGAACATGGTGGCTGTGCCTGAGGGGAGCAAACATGGCATCCAGGCCTGAGGGGAGCAAACATGGTGACCAGGCCTGAGGGGAGCAAACA